TACAGTATGATGTACAAGAAATGCCAACATAGTTAGATTATACAATTAATTGCACAATTATTAACACAATTATATATTTATATTCTTGTAATTATTATAAAATACATCAAATAACATAATTACAACTCTTATCTCGATTTATATCCAATTTTTAGAAATTTACCTGTGATGATACTTCTTGTGGCGTTTATAAATTCGTTTTCCAGACAGTTCATAATTCTATTATACTGTTTTTGTGTACTGTCTTATATTATTTGAGGTATTCGTTGCCATTCTGTGGTTAACATGTCGAAATGAATGTACTATAATATTACCTCTTTATGTATTTCACTGTCCTGAGTGTTCTTGCATTTATTTGTACAGTATTTCTGTCATGTAATGTTGTCATTTTACCGTATATTTAACATTGCCATAAAAAGTTAGGTTTGGCTAGCCACAGAACCAGGTTCAACCCACCTTTTTTCGTAAATATTCTGTACCAAGTCAGGAACATTGCAGTTGTTATCTAATAGTTTTATGTATGTTGCATTATCGTTTGTTTTGTTGCACTTCAGTGTTTCTGTTGTTTCGTTGTTTTCATATTCGTGCTTATATAGTTGAAAAAATAGGGGTACAGCAGTCAACATTGTGTTATAATCTAATTCAATATAAAAAACAAACAAATATGTCAACAAAAAAGCACAAAAAGGCACACAGACGCAGCACACCAGCATAAAAGAAAGACAAGACTACAAAAATTCACCATAGCACAACACAATGACGAGATGTATAAGTACCGAACAAGACAAATGGACAGTAACAAAAAATAGACTAATAGGTTTACTTTCATAAATTGTTACTTGGATGGAGAGTTGTCTCATTGGCACTCATACAAACATCTTCCTATATCTATATAAAGGTAAAAGAAAAGCAAAGTAATATTCACAAAGACAAAGAAAAAATTTTTATTAAACGTTATTCAGATGATAAACAACGTCATTACCTATAGTCTACACGTTACGACCATCGTGTATTATTTGTGATTGTATGTGTCTGATTTAACGCAATGGCTAATATGAATAAGAAGATGTGGTATGATAGTCAATGTGATAACTCGTCATCAAAGCCTGAATGTGTAAAAAGTTAACAGTCATAGGTCGAAGTATAATCAGTCTGAAATTTACCGGAGAGACAAAATGGCAATGAATCAATAAAATGTTGTTCGGTCTGTTTAAAAATTCCCTGTGCAGTTCATGATCGGTTCATAAGTGCTAATGGCTTGAAACTTAGCGTGACCGTTTGTGTCGACGGGTTATATAAGCGTGTCCTGCTATGCAAGCATTAGCAGTCAGACACAATTTAATAAAAGAGACTATGACATGTACGACGCAGTCGGTAAACGGAACATGCTTGTATCTTCTGTATTCGCAATCCGATATGATATTAAGAATTTTGCTGATGAGAAATGGGTAGCTAATTATAGAAAGATAAAATCTTGAAGTTTGTCATTGACAATAGTTGTTAAGTTATGTATAATTAAAATAATCGAAAAAAAATTATATTCGTGGAAATGTTTTACGTAAGAAAAAATCAGCGAGTAACATTTTAATTTAATTAATCAAAAATTATGCTATCAACATGGTTTACAGTTACTTCAATGATAAAAAATAAATAAATATATTCATCTTCATTAATTATGCCGTTATAAAACTACCTTTTAATGCAGCAGTTGAAAATGTCGATTGAACGTCTCCGCCAAGGGTAGACCTGAAAACAATTTAATCAATGCTTAATCTTCTATACATTAAGATACAAAATAATTACACATTTATAATTTGATATTGAATAGGTTATCATTTCTTTAAAATTTTAACAACAGAATGTTTCTGTGAAAAACAATGCGAAAAGATATATTGTAATACTACAATACCTCCCTGTAAAGCAATAAGATCGCTTGATAAGGATATTCAACACAACAAATAAAATATTTATGACAACTAACGTACTGATTTACTGCATTTAATACATAAAGTATTCAAATCAAATACACATTTTATCACAAATACTAAGTAAATTTAATGGTGCAGCATCTTTTGTTACCATCTGTGATGAATGGTGTCATTTATTCTAAAACCAGTTGTTGGCATGATACTTGTTATGTTCTTCTCATATATTTTATGAGGGTATGATACTGAACCCCTAACAGGAGGGATTTAGCCTGAATTTCATATAATGAAGACATAATCTTTCAATCAGTTTAATTGAGGTCTGGAGCTGGCATGTGAGTAACTGCAAGTAGTCCTTTTCCAATTTATGTATCATTATCATTTTGTTTAGTTTCTTTAGTTACCTGTTCTGACATCGGACTCGGACTTCTTTGAAATGAGTTTATTTACTGTGCGTATAGCTGTGCGATTGTTTATTCTACATTGGTTAGAGGTATAGGGCGAGATGTGAGATCTCACATAACATATTTAACCCCGCTGCCTTTTTTCGCCTGTCCCAATTCATGAGCCTCTTGCCTTTGTTAGTCTTGTATGTTTGTTTTTTTTATGTTAGTTCATTTGTATGTGTTGGAGGTTAGTGTGACGTCAATTTTCACTGAACTAGTACGCATTTTGTTAAGGGGCCAGCTGATGTCCCATTGGTGACCTTCAGCAGTTTTATGCCCTTTGGTCGGGTTGTTGTCTTTGACACATTCCCAGTTTCCTTTTGCAATTTTATTGTGATCGGCTATTCATAGGACAATAAAGCAATATTCATTTAGTTAACAAATATATCTAATTATACATGTTATGACTTTGGCGTTTATTTCCATAAACATACTTAGCTGTTGACGAAATTGGCTCACAGGAGTTCAAAAGAGATCTTTCATATCCTGGGTTACACTTGTTTACGCAGTTATAATCTGAAAAATCATGTATTAAGATATAACAGACGATATGTAAGCGCTTATAAATGAGTTTCTAGGGCATAAATTTTCATTTTCTTTGTAACATTCCACAAGCATTATTTAAGACAATTCTAAACACGTTGATGATAATTTGTTTTGACTTTTCATTAAAGAAATTTGTCTAAATATGTCTATATTTGTCTAGATATGCTGAATGTTAAAGAACAATTCATACAGCATAACTTAAATGTATAAAATTGTATATATGGTTTCAAATATTTAGAACGTCATATTTCAGTCCTTATTGAATGGAGGTGTAATTATTTGCAGTCAATTTGATTGACTCATATACAACAAGCACAACATAAATTAATGCAATATATTAGTTAAGTCAAATTAATTCCTCAAAACATAATTGTTTGTTGGTTCTTCATTGCGGTGTAACTGTATTATAAAATGAAGAAGACAAAAAGGACAATTGATAAAGATGTCAAAGAAGTACAACATCATTATAAAGTTAAAAAAAAGATTAAAAAATACATAACAGCCCATAAGAAAAAACAAAGACACAAATCTAAAGCAACATGTACCTTAAGCAAAGAAATATGATATTGGAGTTACAACATGGAGTATTAAAGAATGTTACCAAACGAACGTCATTACATATCTTTTGGTATTAAATGTGTATTCTATAACGTAAATTAGTTTGTTAAAGTAAAAAGGAAGTACTTACTAATAATGTTTATCTGACACAGAAAACAATATATTACTAAATAAAGGCAACAGTAGTGTACCGATTTTAAAACAAAAGAGAAAACAAATACGGGTTGCAAACTAAAACTGAGGGAAACACATCAACCACAAGTAGAAATCAGCAGGAACACTGAAGTGTATATGAAAATTCAACGCCAACATTCACGGAAACGGTCTATTTAATAACAACTGCCATATTCCTGACATGGTACAGGACATATTAAAAATGATGAATTGAACCTTGTTGTATGGCTAGCTCAACCTCCTGATGATATGGCAATATTAAAAAAAACACTGCTTAAATGATAACACTACGTGAGAGAAACAGATAATTAACAAACGCAAGTTGATTCAGCTTAGCAAAAATGCAAAGATAGATAATATAATATTACATAACAACATGTAAACCGCAGAATAACAACGGTCCAAAAAAACAAAATATTTGACATAATTCTACACTTGTTCAACTTTTTAACGTAAAAGTTGATCTTGTTTTGAAGAAATTGTTGTGGTATGTCTCCTTTTCAATGATGATGACCGAGTGGTCTAAGTTGTTAATACGGATATGAATTTAGATCCCTGTTAATAACATTGTACGTTAAACACCAATCTTAATTGACTAGGATTGCAACATTGTACAAGTTCTTTTTCTGTCGAAATTCGGTGGTACTTCCAATGTACTTTAGCTGATCCTCTATTAAAAGGGCAGCCATGACATTGTTAGAGAGCCCGCAGCTTTAAACGAGAAAACAAATTAAAAATCAATCCATGCCATTGACTTCGATCTGATAGCTCAGTTGATAGGTCAAGATATTTAGAGGTTCGCAAATGTAATGCCGCAGAGGAAATAATTAAATTGGCCTTTCATTTAGGAAGAGGTGTATTTGATGTACACTGTATACATTTTATACGAGATCCCTCGTATGATATGGTTTATAAAGAAACTTACAGTTATTATTTATTTGATACGTAGCAAAAATATGTATTGTGACCTCAAGTTTCTGAAATTAAAATACTAAGAGCCATCTGTACATATTTTATTCCAAAAGATATTTCTTAGTTTTCCTTTAGGTCACATATTAAGTTTTATATTTAGTTATAAAGATGTTGTTTGATTGTCAATGAAACAACTCTCCAACAGATACCAACTGACATAGAAGTTAACAAATATAGTATAGTACTAACACTTTATAAGAAAATGAAAAATCTTCAACCTTGAAATCAAACCTAACAGAGTAAAGTATTCAAATACTCTCCATAGTATCTTAGGGGATCTATGAACCGATACATATATTTTGATAGCCATTTTTTATATTCAGTTCAAAATTTAATACATACCTTCATCGAGTTCCTGAAGGTTATTTTCACATGTACGATATTGACAGTTACACTCTGCGGATGAAGATGGAGAACAACATCGGTTTTGACCATGTACTACATATCCTTTTGTATAGTCACATCTGCAAGTAGCATCCTCTGTTTCAGTCCCATTATCACATAGCACTTGGCCCATACTATTACATGATGATTTGACAAACATACAGTCAGAAATGTCATTTGACCATACAGCAAATGGCTGATATAAATGGTTTGGGCAGCTGAAATAGTATATGTCATCTGATTTGTGTAAATACTTCGGATAGTTTCCTACAATTAAAAAACAATTTTTTAAACAGAAAAGAAGACATACAGATATTAAAGATTCTCAATAATGTCTAAAACTGACATTCAAAGACCATGTATGAAAATGAAATATAGCATGGTAGAAAAGTTCATTTACTTAAACGTTTGTAATAACGAATATGTTAAAAAAAAAAAGTCCTTAAAAATGGTTCGTTTATTTGTACGTACAAGCAGCTTATATGAATCAGCATTATTTATAACCCTAATCTATTTTAATCTAAAAGTAGCTCTTAAAGCATTTCATCAACTTGTTGTATGGTCATCAAACAATAACATGAATAACACAAGGGTGATCTCTGATGTCAATGTCAAAAACATATCTTGCTTTAAACAGCCTTTTACTTAATTACAAAACTATATATTGGTTTTTTTTCTTTCTGTTATGAGTGTTCTTGTGTGTTTTTGTGCTGTATTTTCATGACGAAGTGTTTTATTGATATCTTTTAACATTGTCATATATCGGGAGGATTGACATGCCATTAAAGCAGGTTCAACCAACGATTTTTTTGTCCTGTACCAAGTCAGGAATATGGCAGTTGTTATCAAATAGTTCGTTTCTATGTGTGTTGGCGTTTGTTTTAGTTGCACTTTGGTGTTCCTGTTGTTCCTTTGCTTTCCTCTTATAGTTGATGTGTTTCCCTCATGTTTGTTTTATAGCCCGGATTTGTTTTTTTTTCAATCGATTTTTTGACTTTTGAACACCAGTATACTACTGTTGCCTTTATAAAAGAGATAGATTCATGTTCTGATCTTTCATTCGCAGTATTGAAGCTACGTTTTAACTATTATACCCAAAATTCCTCAACACAGATCAACAACATTGAACAATCTTGTGGACTTATTGTTCTGCATAAAAACCTTTCATCTTAACTAAGCTAGATGAACTTGGAATTCTTATTGCAGTATACTAGTGTTCCAGGTCCATATAACAAGCAAATGTCTATGTAAATATTATGTGTTAATCTTGAACATTTTACATGAGTAATAAGATAATCTTTTACAGCTGTGTTAATAGTGAAAATTAGGGTTTCAAACAGGTAACGATCATGCAAGATATTGACAATGACAATAAGGGGTTTCAACTTTTAAAGCGAAACATCACAGATTAACAAACAATTATTAGAGACAGCAAAAGAACATTTCATTTTAATGTTTTACTAACCTGGAGGTATCTGTTGAGGTTTATTGCATGTTTCAACTAGTCTGTCTCTGTCATCTCTGATACAATGATAAAAGTTAGAAGTTAGACAGTTTGTAAGACTCCCAAATATTCGTCTTTCGAATCTTGTTGGGCATCGGGAAATATAACCAGTAAACTCACAGTGAGCTATTACCATCTGAATAAAGGGAAAAAATAAAAACAAATAGAAATCATATATTTGGTATACACCAATTCAACAGAATCATAACTATACAGGAAACCAAAGTATATAAAGATCGATTTGATATGAAATGGAGAACAAATGCATATCAATGGAATATATCATTTTTCTAAAATGAACAGATAGTTAGAGTGAATACACATTTTAGAACAGTTTATTTCACTACTGAAACCGACATTACATCAGAATAACAGTCATCACTAAAACTATTGATCGATTGACATTTTCTTCTACGTATTCTTTAATTATTTTGAAACCATAAATGTTGGCAAGACGTTGTCTTAGTTGACCGTTACCGAATATGCATGTCACAGCTAACCAGAAATATGTTCTATTTGACATGATTTTTATCACCCAAGATCACTCTGTTATAAAATAATGGTGTTATAACTAAGTCCGAACGGTTCTTTGTTTTACCAATTTTAACGTCCATTGTCACTTCTTCATCCTTCAGTTCTAACATCTTACACCAAAGAAACAAAATATAATAACTGAATCTTAATCTCATAACATATTCCCATAAATGTATTATTCACTCGGAAGTGTAAGGTGTTTGTTTGATCTACTTGATTGTCAGAGGCTTCACACTTGCCCTATTTAAAGTCCTTCATACTAAATTTGAGACTTTAGAATTGCTGCGCGCTAAACGATTTTTGTTTGTATTTAACAGCATCCTGATCTCTCAAGAAATCGTAAGCCAATGATATACATGTAGTAAGTAATATGATACATAAGGAGCTATCTCACCAACTTTGCCTGAGGTATGATTTTTAGTTTCTATATATTTAAAAAAAACATTCATTGTTTCCGTTTCTGATATCTTTGAAATTTCAGAAATGAACTTCAATTATTTGATTGATTTGTTTGTGTTTAACTCCATCTAAGTTATTTTAGCCGTATATTGGCAGTCTGTGTTCCTGCTGCAGGAAGCTTGAGTGCTCGAAAAGAATCATCGATTGTCGGCAGAAAAACTGGCAATCCTATGCGATTAAAATCGGAGTCGAACACAACTAAGATTTGCATGGTTTGACCTTAAAACATCTCTGCTGAAACGGTAGTGGTACAACAGATTAACTGTGTTGACCACTCCTCTCAGCCACCAAGGCTCTATATTTTCGGTCAGATAAGTTCGATTAATGTTATAAATATATTGTAGCAAGGTCCTCCCCTTGTTTTTGTTTTTTTTAATTTGCCTGTTTTCCAGTCGGGTTTCTTAAAAAAATTTAGCACCTCATGTTGTGGTTTACCATCTTTGCCGCAAGTTTATTGTTTTCTACTTGGTATTGAATTAATATAGAGATCCACTTTGTTACACCTTGTGATAAATTTATTTGGCAATCGTCAATGGCAGTCAGCAGGGTTTAGGTACATCAGTTGTTCGACCTGTTAGTCAAATGCGTTTTGTTAAAATATATTTTTTTCACTCTTTTGGTCTTTTGGAAAATGTTGTTTGTGCTGTATTTAGACCCCTATTCTACAACGAAATATGTTACATGCACACGTTTAAAATTTGCGGTTTTTATCCAACGCAATCATAGATTTGAACGTTGTTTTCAATTTAGACTTGTTTATATTTATTTCGTTTGGGCTTGTATTATATTTTCCCTCCGGTTTATATAATCCGTTCATCCTATTTTGACTCTTTAAAATTCAAGAATTGAGGTAAATTAAATGGCCTTCTAAATTCTCTTCGATCCCTAACATCACTGAAGTGACATTTATTGTCGAAATCCGGATATGGTGTAAAAAATTTAGCACCTCATGTTGTGGTTTACCATCTTTGCTGCAAGTTTATTGTTTTCTACTTAGTTTTAAATTAATATAGAGATCCATTTTGTTACACCTTGTGATCAATTTATTTGGCAATCGCCAATGGCAGTCAGCAGGGTTTAAGAACATCAGTTGTTCGACCTGTTAGTCAAATGCGTTTTGTTAAAATATTTTTTTTCACTCTTTTGGTCTTTGGGAAAATGTTGTTTGTGCTGTATTTAGACCCCTCTACAACGAAATATGTTACATGCACACGTATAAAAATCGCGGTTTTTATCCAACGCAATCATAGATTTGAACGTTGTTTTCAATTTAGACTTGTTTATATATATATATATATATATATAAGAAGATTAATAAAAGATAATAACGGTTTCAATTCATCACTTTTACTAGCGCTTTCACTGCTTTTAAAGATCTTCAGGTAATGTGACTTGTATACATTAGTGTTATACAAAACAATTGATTGACGTTAACAATAGTATGACGTTATCAAATACAAGAGAGACTACTAATGTCATTTAAGAAATTGAGTAAAGTATACAATGGAAATATCTTAAATCGTCAATTTGAACAACGATGGAAATGGTCGTTAGACCGGATGATTGTTAAATCTTCATGGTTGGTTTGCTGCCTATGAACAGTCATTCTAGTACGCAAAAAATGAACTGCGTACTAGAATGACTGTTCATAGGCAGCAAAGTTTGTTAACGTCATACTATTGTTAACGTCAATCAATTGTTTTGTATAACACGCACTTATGTATACAAGTCACATTACCTGAAGATCTGTAAAAGCAGTGAAAGCGCTAGTAAAAGTGATGAATTGAAACCGTTATTATCTTTTATTAATTTTCTTATATGTTACCAGCATACGGATTCTATTTAACTTTTCTTTATAAATAAATATATATATATATATATATATATATAAAAGTCTAAATTGAAAACAACGTTCAAACCTATGATTGCGTTGGATAAAAACCGCAATTTTTATACGTGTGCATGCAAAACAAATTTCTTGGTAGAGGGGTCTAAATACAGCACAAACAACAATTTCCAAAAGACCAAAAAAAAGTGAAAAAGTCTATTTTAACAAAACGCATTTGACTAACAGGTCGAACAACTGATGTTCTTAAACCCTGCTGACTGCCATTGGCGATTGCCAAATAAATTGATCACCAGATCTAACAAAATGGATCTTAATATTAATTAAATACCAAACAGAAAACAATAAACTTGTGGAAAAGATGGTATACCACAAACATGAGGTGCAAAAATTTGTACACCATATCCGGATTTCAACAATAAATGTCTCTTCAGTGATGTTAGGGATCGAAACGGTATTTGGAAGGCCATATGATTTACCTCAATTTAGGATAGACTCTTGAATTTTAAAGAGTCGAAATAGGATGAACGGATCATATAAACCCGAAGGAAAATATAATACAAGCCCAAACGAAAAAATATAAAAGTCTAAATTGAAAACAACGTTCAAACCTATGATTGCGATGGATAAAAACCGCAATTTCTATACGTGTGCATGCAAAAGAAATTTCTTGGTAGAGGGGTCTAAATACAGCACAAATAACAATTTCCAAAAGACAAAAAAAAAGTGAAAAAGTCTATTTTAACAAAACGCATTTGACTAACAGGTCGAACAACTGATGTTCTTAAACCCTGCTGACTGCCATTGGCGATTGCCAAATAAATTGATCACCAGATCTAACAAAATGGATCTTAATATTAATTAAATACCAAACAGAAAACAATAAACTTGTGGAAAAGATGGTATACCACAAACATGAGGTGCAAAAATTTGTACACCATATCCGGATTTCGACAATAAATGTCTCTTCAGTGATGTTAGGGATCGAAACGGTATTTGGAAGGCCATATGATTTACCTCAATTTAGGATAGACTCTTGAATTTTAAAGAGTCGAAATAGGATGAACGGATCATATAAACCCGAAGGAAAATATAATACAAGCCCAAACGAAAAAATATAAAAGTCTAAATTAAAAACAACGTTCAAACCTATGATTGCGATGGATAAAAACCGCAATTTTTATACGTGTGCATGCAAAAGAAATTTCTTGGTAGAGGGGTCTAAATACAGCACAAACAACAATTTCCAAAAGACCAAAAAAAAGTGAAAAGTCTATTTTAACAAAAAGCTTTTGACTAACAGGTCGAACAACTGATGTTCTTAAACCCTGCTGACTGCCATTGGCGATTGTCAAATAAATTGATCACCAGATCTAACAAAATGGATCTTAATATTAATTAAATACCAAACAGAAAACAATAAACTTGTGGAAAAGATGGTATACCACAAACATGAGGTGCAAAAATTTGTACACCATATCCGGATTTCGACAATAAATGTCTCTTCAGTGATGTTAGGGATCGAAACGGTATTTGGAGGCCATATGATTTACCTCAATTTAGGATAGACTCTTGAATTTTAAAGAGTCGAAATAGGATGAACGGATCATATAAACCCGAAGGAAAATATAATACAAGCCCAAACGAAAAAATATAAAAGTCTAAATTGAAAACAACGTTCAAACCTATGATTGCGTTGGATAAAAACCGCAATTTTTATACGTGTGCATGCAAAAGAAATTTCTTGGTAGAGGGGTCTAAATACAGCACAAATAACAATTTCCAAAAGACAAAAAAAAAGTGAAAAGTCTATTTTAACAAAACGCATTTGACTAACAGGTCGAACAACTGATGTCCTTAAACCCTGCTGACTGCCATTGGCGATTGCCAAATAAATTATATCTGCGCGTCGGGCATTGTGCAAGGTGATTTGGTGCCACGACATCTTAGTAGCATGAGTTCGAATCCCGGCAAAGGAAGAACAAAAAATTTGCTTCAGCAAATTTACAGATCTTCCATTGTTGGGCTGATATTTATACGAATTACATATACAGAATGTGTTTTCAGCCTTGTATCATCATCACTGGTGAACCGAGCGATTTTTAACATAGAAAATTTACTTATCCAATAAAAAAAATTTGGAAATGGTGTGAGCAGAAAATCATATCTTAATTTTGTCTACTTTTGACCAGTTCAAACCAGCTCGATTAGTGAAGCAAAATTATTTCCATCCCCAAGCACTAGTGGGTCAAATAAGCCGCCTCTAATAGATTCACGACCTAGGGGAAGTCAGAGATTGTTTAGGAAGAAACAAGTCTTTCGTTGGTCTGATTTGTCAGCTAATGAGACAGATGCTGAACCTCAGGGTTATACTGCTGGGCTTTATGGGCTTACAAAGGGAGTCTTGTTACAATATGATCAAGTCTTTTAAACAAAACATGTACCATTTACCCAGAGATGTGGACAAACTTACATTTTACGGAACAATTAGAATCTCATGATAGGAAAACAGACGACAACGAGCTTTATTTCTTGTTTATAGTGATATATCAACAGACATTTCGAGAGATAGATGAAAATACAAATCTTAAGATCTTGCTACTATACTATCTATACTTTATTTTACGGTTACCAAGGAATATTTGGACCATAAAGGAACCATCTCATGATTCAAATGTGCCTTATTTATTCTTATACTTACCAAGAGTGACCCCAATAAAATAACTAGCATGTTGAATCATAGAAACAGTATATTCTCTTTTGGAGTTTGCGTATTCCAATACGTTTCAAATATTATTTAGCTTCAGCTGAAAAAAAAATTGAACTGAAAATTTAAAAAAAGCCCATCAGAGCTTTATTTAGTTCCAACATTGACCGGTATTAATCAATATGTCTAAAGTACCCCGTCTTAAAATTATCAAAAATCCGGTACTGTGACCGACAACCAACACACAGAGAAAAGGATTTTTTTTTTTTTTTTAATTTAAATCATAGATATACATATGAATATTTCCGATTGTTAGGTGTAATAAATTTCACAACCATTCTAGATTTTAGAAAAAAAAACCAAAAAGGCAAGTCAAAATGATGAGTTTATTGAACCTTAACTCGACTGTGTTTAATTTCTCGTTTAATTGAGCATTTCGTACGAGAGAAATATATAAACGATGGTAATTGCAAGATTAGTTGCAGTATATCTATTATGTTTAAATTTATTTAAAACATGAACTATTGGAAAAAGCAAGTACACAATTTCCGCATGATAAGCATACCTTATTGCACGTGTCTTTGAAATAAGTTTAAATGGAATTCAAATACTTTAAAGCGTGCATTTAGAATAATTATTTTATAACAATATCATGTTGTTGTATGATATACTAGTATGTAATGAGGTAATGATAAGAAGATGTGGTCTTATTGTGTCACCGTATCTATCTACAGCTAGGTTGCTTTACTATACTTTACAATATGTTTATAATATTTACTTTCATTTACTTATTCATTGACAGGTGAAGATTTAGATTATACCGTTCTGCATGAATTAAACATGCATTACTATGGAACGCCGTAACTGTCTTATAGTGTAAAAAATCAATGTGTTTTGTCGCTCTGCCTTTAAGTCCTGGCATTTCTTCTTTATGGTATGTGTAAGTGCCTTTATTTCCTGACACTGCGTCTCTGTGTTATGTCAAATTAATTATTTGTATGGTCAAACAATTGTATGATATGTCATCGCTAATCTGTGTTGTGTGCAATAGGCTTTATATTATGTTGTACTACTATGTATTCTGTGAACAATTGATACTCTCTGTTTCATGCATTACGTTATGTGAAAATGTCTATTACATTATGTACAAACACCTATTACATTATGTGCAAACACATATTACGTTATGTGCAATAGCCTATTACATAATGTGCAAACGGCTATTACATTATGTGCAAACACCTATTACGTTATGTGGAAATGCCTATTACATTATGTACAAATACCCTTTACATTATGTGCAAACACCTATAACGTTATGTCCAAACACCTATTACATTATGTATAAACACCTATTATATTATGTGCTAACATCTATCATGTTAATTTAAAGTCATTATCTAGAAATTCAGTTTGCGAGAAGTTTTAGGAGTTGGGAAAACTTGTTTGAAGTGTATTTGTTTAGTATTTGGTCATACATGTAACATGTCCTCTTTTGTTTGCGGTTGTTTTGTTTTATCCTGATGTAATTATAATATATTTTTTAACAATTAAGTTTTGATTGAACTATATACTAGTAGAAAATCTCCTGACAAAAATAATGTATGTGTTTATATCATTAGGAGAAGAAAATGCTTCATGTAATAAATATACCCGAATAGGCAAAGACAATTATGTTTCTTTTGGTACCAAGTTGGTTAAATTCCAGCCAAAATTGGCTACACAATATGTTTTTTGGGGCGGAACTATATGACAAAAAAATTGTAGGTGACGAATATTTATTGCACAACACAGTAAAAGAGCATGGTTTTGCTTCAATTTATCTTTGAACTACTCTGTCTGTAAATATGTTTGTTTTGTTTATTTTTTGAGAGTTTTTATATAACTTCATATTCACTCACTAAAGTTGCAATGAAGTTGTTCAATGCCGGTTGTTAATGATTATCATAATTGCAGTTGCAAGTATTACATGCTCATTTAGATCGAACATACAAATAAGTTTAATACAGCTGAATTAATCGTTAACTAAGTGAATTATTTTGTACTAATAAACTCCGATGATGCCTTTTCCTAGGCGGTTTGGGGTTTGGGGTTTGGGGGGGGGGGGGGGGGGGCTTTTGTGGGGGGAAATGGTTGATTATATAGGGAATCGTTGACGGTTAACTATATAGGGAATCGGAAATTGTTAAAGGATTGTTTATTATTATGGACCAAGGAAACTACCATAGAGTTGTATTCTTAGATTTAAAAAAAGGCGTTTGATATTGTAAATCACTCAACTTTGTTATCAAAATTAAAAATGTATAAGTTTGATTCTCTTTCCTTTTAATGGTTCAAACCATATTTATCAAACAGCTCTAAAAAATTAAAAATAAATACCAACATATCTTATTAAAAATTAACATTTGGTGTATCGCAGGGCAGTATTCTAGGCCCTCTTTTATTTCTTTTATATATTAACGATCTCCCACTACAACTAAATCATACAAAATATGATTTATATTCGGACGACAAAACTCTTAAATACTTTTCAAATTCCTTTGATGATATATGTGATAAACTTATTGACGAAATAGCAACTTTTAAAATATGGTGTGAAAATAATGATATGATTCTAAATATTAAAAATCCAAATCTATGTTAGTTGGTTCACATAGAAAGCTACAAAGCTTTCAAGAAACAATGAAGATAGAATACAGTAGAATTATTTTGCAAAATGTAAACAGTGAAAAATTACTTGACATCATAATCGATGATTTTCTTTCATGGAATCAACAAATAAACAAAGTATGTACTGTAATTTCAAATAGACTTGGTTTACTAAATCGATTGAAGCATTATATTCCACAAAAAGTTTTATGTTTATTTAATAATGGATATTTACTTCCTCTCTTTGATTATTGCTGTACAATATGGACAAACAAGTAATCTAAATATGAAAAAGAAATGTAAAAATTACAAAAAAAGGGCAGCCAGAATCATTCTTAACAAAGCATATGACACACCGCCAAAAACTTTATTCAAACAATTAGGATGGTTAACTTTTAAAAAAGAATCATATATCACAAAAGAGTATTAATGTATAATTGTGTAAATAGTAGTGCACCTGATTATCTTTGTCAATTATTTAACAATAACCAAAATGTTAATGCAAGATATGTTTTGAGTTCTTTTCATTCCACGTCCGAGAACAAATTTTATGAAAAATACATTTCAATATTCCGGTACTTTTTTTTGGAACAGTACTGTATTCCTGTGGAAATCAAAAAGATAGAAAAGATAGAACAGTTCAAAAAAAGGTATTATAATTTCTTGTTTCTAAACTGAAAGATGAAATGTATCTATATTCTAAAAAATCCATATGTTTGTCTTGAATATCAATAACAAAATATGTTCATGAAACGATTCTGTATGTTTTTCGCCATTTGTTTTGCACAACAAGCTGTATGCTGTATGTATGTATGTATATTATTGTTATATTTTGAGTTATTCATCAGGGGAGATTAGTATTGTACTAACTGATAATACCCTCTTTAAATAAAGTATTTATATTATTATCATTATAAGCATGACTGGAACCACCCCCCCCCCCCCCCTTTTTAGGTCAGTCAGAGGGCCCACCCTTATACAAATTTCTGGATCCGCCACTACTTTTATATTAATCCGAATATTGCACGGCGGGTTCTCCGCAGAATTGACTTCCCTTTTTTCAACAGTTCTTGTATTTTAAATGCTCTTCAAATCGTAAACTGATTACTGTGGATTCATTTATCTTTGTGGGTATCAATTTTCGTGGATTGAGGACAATTTTCATTTTCGTTGATATTTTATTTCGTGGTTTTGCCAAATTCTGTATATATTTCAATATAACACTTGTATTTCGTTGGACATTGAAATTCGTGGTTCCCAGGTAAACACGCAATCCACGAAAATTGGTATCCAACGAATAATATTGAATCCACAGTATCTGGTTTTTTTTAATAAATTTTAAGTTTTGAGCATCACTATAGGAACACGAATAAGAGACATAACGTCAGGTGCCAAATATTTCATTCACTATTTGAATAACATCATGTTAGCAATAAATACTGTTTTATTATCATACCGGGAATTTAGGATTGGGCCTTATTTTTACTAATATAGCGGATTAACACTAGTTGGGATTCTAATCTAAAAAAATAATAAAAACGAGTAAAGACCGATTTTTTATGACTTCTGTAAGGAAGTTTCAATCTCCGTTATGTAATAGATGCCGTTTTAAATAGAAGTTAAATAAATAAAATGTTGCCCTCTAAAATACAATTGATGGCACCATGAAAGAGTGAATTGCTACAAAGGTTTGAATGCACAGAGAAAGGGACATTCTCCCAACACGAGGTATGTGATTTAATATCTACAATTTAACTGAGCATGGCGTCTTACATTTACATCCAACATAACCGAACTGACGTCCCCACTTTTACCTAGATTATACTGCCGGTTTAAAAAAGACCTAAAGAATTTATGAAATTGTAAAATGAGTAAACGATAATGAAAAAGCAATAAACAAATAACATACGTATTTATAATATGGGCACGAATGATAGTTACAGTAAAAGAAACAAAATTAAGCTTGATATGGACACGTTAGGGGATTGGGCACGTTTGAGTGTTTATTAAAAAATGAACACGTTTAGGCGTTACTACAAATGACACGTTTTGGCGCACTTTAACATTAGGACATGTTTTGCAATTCAGTGACATCATGTGGACACGTTTGGGGGGAAAAGACACGTTTCTGAGTGTTTCATATATATTTTATAGCTTTTGCCAATCTAGGCACATCTCCACAGTCGTGTCTGTATATTTGCAAATGTTTTAATTTTCAACAAGTAAAATGAATAAAATGTTAAAAGCATGGGTGTATAACGCACACTAGAGGAACAACATCATTTCCCCTTAAACTATATATTTATAGCATTTTTAAAATATCTAAAAACACCACATTTCCAATACTTGATCAACAACCTCATGAACACATTTTATCTTAAATAAAGAAAGAGCGAAGCAGTCCACAGCTTTTTAGAAAGCTCAAACTTGTGATTTTCATAATTTTCTATA